AGATCAATGGAACAGGATAGAAAGCCCAGAGATAAACCCACGCACATATGGTCACCTTATCTTTGATAAAGGAGGCAAAAATATACAGTGGAGAAAAGACAGCCTCTTCAATAAGTGGTGCTGGGAAAACTGGACAGGTACATGTAAAAGTATGAGATTAGAACACTCCCTAACACCATACACAAAAATAAGCTCAAAATGGATGAAAGACCTAAATGTAAGGTCAGAAACTATCAAACTCTTGGAGGAAAACATAGGCCGAACACTCTGTGACATCAATCACAGCAAGATCCTTTTTGACCCACCTCCTAGAGAAATGTAAACAAAAACAAAAATAAACAAATGGGACCTAATGAAACTTAAAAGCTTTTGCACAGCAAAGGAAACCAAAAACAAGACCAAAAGACAACCCTCAGAATGGGAGAAAATATTTTCAAATGAAGCAACTGTCAAAGGGTTAATCTCCAAAATTTACAAGCAGCTCATGCAGCTCAATAATGAAAAAACAAACAACCCAATCCAAAAATGGGCAGAAGACCTAAATAGACATTTCTCAAAAGAAGATATACAGATTGCCAACAAACACATGAAAGAATGCTCAACATCATTAATCATTAGAGAAATGTAAATCAAAACTACAATGAGATATCATCTCACACCAGTCAGAATCGCCATCATCAAAAAATCTAGAAAGAATAAATGATGGAGAGTGTGTGGAGAAAAGGAACACTCTTGCACTGCTGGTGGCAATGTAAATTGATACAGCCACTATGGAGAACAGTATGGAGCTTCCTTAAAAAACTGCAAATAGAACTACCATATGACCCAGCAATCCCACTACTGAGCATATACCCTGAGAAAGCCATAATTCAAAAAGAGTCATGTACCAAAATGTTCATTGCAGCTCTATTTACAATAGCCTGGAGATGGAAACAACCTAAATGTCCATCATTGGATGAGTGGATAAAGAAGATGTGGCACATATATACAATGGAATATTATTCAGCCATAGAAAGAAATGAAATTGAGTTATTTGTAGTGAAGTGGATGGACCCAGAGTCTGTCATACAGAGTGAAGTAAGTCAGAAAGAGAAGGACAAATACCGTATGCTAACACATATATATGGAATTTAAGAAAAAAATAAAAAAGGGTCATGAAGAACATAGGGGCAAGATGGGAATAAAGACACAGACCTGCTAGAGAATGGACTTGAGGATATGGGGAGAGGGAAGGGTAAGCTTTGACAAAGTGAGAGGTTGGCATGGACCTATATACACTACCAAACGTAAAATAGATAGCTAGTGGGAAGCAGCCGCATAGCACAGGGAGATCAGCTCAGTGCTTTGTGACCACCTAGAGGGTGGGATAGGGAGGGTGGGAGGGAGGGTGACGCAAGAGGGAAGAGATATGAGAACATATGTATATGTATAACTGATTTACTTTGTTGTAAAGCAGAAACTAACACACCATTGTAAAGCAATTATACTCCAATAAAGATGTTAAAAAAAAAAAAAGGAAGTAAATCAGTTTCAGTGCACTGTGGTCTAATGCTTTGGGAAAGCCCAATGGCATACCTCTTTACCACTATTCTGTAGTGTCCGGATCACGTGTCTCTTTGAATCAGATTTGCTTTGTACCCCTATCTCTTCTCATTTAAATTGATTTTGCATGTTGAATTTTCTTTAATTAACATATATTTATTATTAGAACAACCAGTACACAAGGTAGCCAATTCCTTGTTTTGATCACACAGTTTCAAGTGATGTCTTCTGTTTTTGTCAGGTGTTATTTTAACTAAATGAGCTCCTAGATTTCTTGGGATGCTCTATAACTTGGATATCTGTGGTGCTATTAATATCTTCTGCTATGTTTGTGCATGTGTGTCCACAGGTTGTTATGAGGTTTATATCTGAGCGATATGTTCTAGGTACCCTGTTAACACCATATGCCTATTCAAGGCACAGGCTGTATTTCAGTTATGCTTATATTCTGTTCTAGAAAGTATGATGAAGTTTGTAATACTTCCATCACCACAATCACCTATCTCCTGAGATTTTCCTCATGTTAAAATGGAAGGAGTGTCTCTGTTACTTTCAGTGGAAATCCTTATATTTGTGCTCTGGAACACAGTCTGTTCACCTTATCATGAATTTTCTCTTTTTAGATATTCCCTCCCCCCCCCCTTTTTTTTTTTTTTTTTGTGCTCTGGAACACAGTCTGTTCACCTTATCATGAATTTTCTCTTTTTAGATATTTTCCCCCCCCCCCCCCTTTTTTTTTTTTTTTTGGCTTCACAACATGGCATGTGGGATCTCAGTTCCCTGACCAGGGATTGAACCCCCACCCCCACGTTGGAAGTGTAGAATCTTAACCACTGGATTGCCAGGGAAGTCCCCTTGTTTTCCTCCCTCTTTCAAAATTATTATTTTCTTCAGCAAAGACAGTGACTAATATTTCCCATATCAGAAAAAATTAATTTGTTGAACCCACTTCTCTGATGACATAAGACACCATTTTTCTCATCTTTACTTCAGGTACTGTTATCTGATAAAGTCTCAGGACTCATGGGCTTCCTATATTCACATTCAATATACTTTTGAATCCACTACAGTAAAACTTCCATCCTTTCATATTTTATTGAAACTACTCTTTTCAAATTAACCAATGATGTCCATCCTGTCAAATCCAATTCAGCCTTTACTAACCCCACTCAACTTAATAAAATTTACCTCAACTGTCCACTTAGAACACTCCTTTCTTGACTTCTATGACTCCTCTCCCTCCCAGTTTTCCTTCTCCCCCGGACTGTTCCTCTCCTTTTGCTGGTACCTTCTCCTATTCAGACTCCTATTTGAGTCTAAAGTTGGACTGCTTTAGACTCAAAAGATTGGATGCTGTGCTGCTCAATCTTTCCCTTCCTTTTGTCTTACAATTCTCTCCCAGATGAGATTGTTCCCATTACTTTACGTTTAGCCTGATCTATCTCAAATTTATATTTCCTGTTCAGAAAGTACACTTGAACTCCACACCCATTTCTAATTTACTTCTTTTTATTCCATATGTTTATTTAATTGGCATCTAAGATATAACATGTCAAAATCATTGATTTCTCCCAAACTCTTTTTCTCCCAAAGGGAATCTTTCCCTTAACTTTTTATCCAGCTCCATGAATGGGCTTATTAATTACATGCTAGATCAAATATACAGATACAACACAAAAATTGAGTCATTTGTAATTTCTTCTTTTTACCAATGCCACTGCAACAAAAAGCTTTATAGGTTGTAGTCAATATATAGCACTATTTTATACACTTCATTTTCTTCTAATTTTTCCACTTTTGTCCATGATGATATCATTTATTTTCTGAATTGTTTTTAACATTCTACAATCCAAGATTCAAAGCAGCCACTGTCATTTTTCCAGAATGTAAATAGATCCATTATTTCTTTTGTTAAAAATGTTTTCCCATCGATTTTATAAAACATTTAAAACTCTTTACCATGTGCTATAGGACTTGTTCATCCTATGCCCTAGCCATCCACTTCATTCATTCTGCCAGCTACACTGAAACACCTATCTGTTTTTAAACCAAGTCAAGCTTTTTCTTTAATTTGGATATTTATACTTTAGTTCTCTCTATTCAAATATTCTGCCCCTTGCACTTTTCACATAATAGTTCATCTTTTTTTCTTCAGGTGTAGATGAAATGTCACTTAAGCTAAGATTAATGATAAGGGAAGAAGTATTAGAGGTTTGAGGAGAAAAAGAAAACTCATTAAATTGTTTTAGGAATAGTTTGGAACATTTCTAGAACATATGATGATTGTTGACTATATTCACATTTAAGTTAACTACTGCTGAATAATGTAAAACCCCAAAACTCAGGGTATAGGAAAAAGGCATGGTGTATGTGTCTGTGAGTTAGCTGAGGGACAGCTGAACTAGGCTGGCTTCTCTTTGCCAAGTCTGCTAATCTCCAGGACATTCATTCCTACATTTGCTCATTTACTACGTAGCTCTACTCTAGGATGGGAAGCTGACAACTCTGCCCTGGGGGCTCATCTTTCTTCTGGGAACCAGTGGACTAGCCCTGGAATGTGCTTCTTATGGTAGTGGCAGAGCATAAGAGGAAACATTTAAAGTCTCATGAAATCTAGACCCAAATGTGGAACAGAACACCATCACTTTCAACACATTCTATTGCCAAAGTAAGCTGGAGGCCAAACCTAATAGGAGAGAGCCCTACAAAATTGCATGAACTAGTGAGGGAAGAAAATTTGTGGCTGAGGATGGAAACTCCTTCCTGTTTGTTTTCTCATTCTTTGACCAAACACTGTGCTAGGTGATGGAGGCACAATGGTCATTAATTAAAATGTTTTGTTTTTCATTTTGTATTTATCTTCAAACCTCAGCTATGATGAAATTCCAAGATAAATCAATCTTTGGCATATGTTATCCTAAAAACATTGTACATATAGCAAGAAGAAGTTTCATTAAAGGTTTAATTTTTTCCCCAATGTACTGTGGTCTTCACAGAGGCAGTTTTTTTAATCCTTCCCTTATTAATTACTGTGTTTTTGCTATCTGCTACCTACTATTCTATTCATGGAGTTTAGTGTTTTGTTTTTTAACTTTTTGAATTAGTAATTGAATTAAACCTTAATTAAGGACTGACAGAAAAATAATTGATATGATTTCTATGCAAATATAAAACAGGTGGGCAAATCTTAAGGGCCAAATATGGGAAGTAAAAATACGCATTTCAATATTTGAGTATATTAGATTTAATACCTCCCTTGGTTCAGTTTTCTTTTCTTCATTATAGCTTCAAGTAAAAGAGTATCCAATTTTTTTGTTTTCTCAAGATACTTCATCGACTACAATGCTGAAGATGACAGGTTTTTCAACATTGATGCCAACACTGGAACCATTAAGACTACCAAGGTTCTTGATAGAGAAGAAACTCCATGGTACAACATCACAGTTGCTGCTTCAGAAAATGGTAAATTTCTTTACATTATGTACCATAGGAAATATGTCACTTATACATGAAGATTTATGCTGAGACTTTCTCTGGAGCAGGGCTTTCATGATTTCTATTTTTTATGCCATTATCTAGCAGAGTGCACAGAATGTAGTAGATACAATTACTCATTGTCAGATACAGTGAATAAAGCTTATACCTTTTTCTTTACTTTAATCCCCACATAGTGGTGGAAAATTGGCATCACAGAACACTTAATCTGCATCACTGAGTCAAAATATTTGGTTCTCTTCTTAATTGTGAGACTTGCTTTGTCATGTGCTTGTGCCTTACTTAAGTAGAAGAAGAATACTTCATATACGGTGGAGCAGTTTAGGAAAATAAAGAGAAGAAATGAAAATCTAACATTTTACTTGAATAAGTTTATCAATATAACACCCTTCCTCAAACTTCAATTAGCACTTAGAAATTTTATAGCAAAAGAATAGCTCTTGGAATTTCAACAGGCAAGTCTAACTTCTTTTCAAGAGACGTACATGGTATACAACTGAGGAAGGCCATTGTTCCATCCTCATCCAGAGCATCGCATTGTGCTAAACACCTAAGTTTTTTTTTTAAAAAAGCATAAATATCAACAATTATCTCTGAGCTCAAAAAGATGTACATAACTGTCTTCAAATGAAATTAGAATAAAGCTTTAGGAAAATGGATTACTGTCAAGAAAATGAAGTCTTTCTTTAAATGTTGAGAAATAAATGAAAGGTACAAATTGCCCCAAGTTTAGTATTATATATACTATACTAAAATTTAGTATAGTATACCCAGCTTACATATACATTTTAAAAGATTCCAACATACTCATGAGTGAACTATAAATGTTAAAATTTAGGAAAACTTCATGTTAGAAAATAAAGCTATGTAAAATAAAATTATGCTCTCTCTTTCCTTTGCCCTCAGAAGGTATAAGACATTTTTAAAATATTAAAACTTCATTTAGAAATAGTTTACATACCATACCATTCACCTTTTTAAGGTGTATAGTTTAATGAGTTTTATTAAATTTAGAGCTGTGCATCAATCACCACAATTGATTTTAGAATATGTTCATTACTTCAAAAAGAAATCCCTGGGCTTCCCTGGTGGTGCAGTGGTTGAGAGTCCGCCTGCTGATGCAGGGGACGTGGGTTCATGCCCAGGTCCGGGGAGATCCCACATGCCGTGGAGCGGCTGGGCCCGTGAGCCATTGCTGTTGGGCCTGCGCGTCCGAAGCCCATGCTCTGCAATGGGAGAGGCCACAACAGTGAGAGGCCCACGTACCGCAAAAAAACAAAAAAACAAACAAAAAAAAGAATAAAAGAAATCCTGTCCCGTTTAGTCATCACCCTCTACACCCCCTTCCCCATGCCTCAACCCAAGAAACGACTAATCTAGTTTTTTTTTTTTTTTTTTTTTTTTTCTATAGATGTCTTAGTCTGTTTAGGCTGCTATAACAAAATATCACAAACTGAGGGCTTTAAACAGCAAGCATTTTTTTCTCACAGTTCTGGAGTCTGGAAATCCGAGATCAAGGGGCCAACAGATTTGGTGTCTGGTGAGAACCCACTTCCTGGTTCATAGATGGCTGTCTCCTAGTGGTGTACTCACATGGTAGCAAGGGCAAGGAATCTCTCTGGAGTCTCTCTTTTTTTTTTTTTTTTTTTGGATTCTCTTTTATAAGGGTACTAATCTCACTCATGAGTGGTCCACTCTGAATTTTGGGGAGACATAAACATTCAGTCTATAATGATAGATTTGCCTTTTATTGGTATTTCATATAAAATAATCAATAACACATGGTCCTTTGTGACTGGCTTATTTCACTTAGCATGATATTTTCAAAGTTCATTTACATTGTAGCATGTATCAGTATTTCCTTCTTTCTTATTGCTAAAAAATATTCCATTATATGGATATACCACATTTTATTTATCCATTCATCACTTGATAGATGTTTGGGTGCTTCTACTTTTTGCCTAATTTGAAGAATGCTCTTAAGAGCATTAATATTAATCTTTCTGTGTGGATGAGTTTTCATTTCTTTGGGATATATACCTAGGAGTGGGATTGGGGGTCATAAAGAAACTATATTTAAAATTTTGATGAACAGCCAGACTGTTTTCCAAAGTGGCTAAATTTTACATTCACAACAACACAATATGGGGGGTCCTATTACTCTATATTATTACCAGTATTTATTATTACATATTGACCATAACCATTCTAGTGGGTGTGGGCTGATAGCTCATTGTGGTTTATGCTCTTTTATAATGTCCTTTATCACAAATCAATAATTAAACTACTCCAGTCTTTTTTTTTTTTTTTTTTTAAATCTCCCTCATCCCATTTCTTGGTATCTGCTCTTTTTTTTTTTTTTAAATTAATTAATTAATTTGTGGCTGTGTTGGGTCTTTGTTTCTGTGCGAGGACTTTCTCTAGTTGTGGCAAGTGGGGCCACTCTTCATCACGGTGCGCAGGCCTCTCACTATCGTGGCCTCTCTTGTTGCGGAGCACAGGCTCCAGATGCACAGCCTCAGTAGCTGTGGCTCACGGGCCCAGTTGCTCTGCGGCATGTGGGATCTTCCCAGACCAGGGCTCAAACCCGTGTCCCCTGCACTGGCAGGCAGATTCTCAACCACTGCGCCACCAGGGAAGCCCTACTCCAGTCTTTTCTATTCCACCTGAATTTTTCATGTTTCTCATCTGAAAAATCAACTCAAGTGGTTTCCATTTAGATATTTTTTCAGCACAGTATTTCTCTTTGAAAATAAGCATTTTCAAAGGGAAATACTGCGCTGAAAAATTACTTTTAAATGAGTGTTATAAAGAATACATGAGTGGGTTCATATGTTATAATTCTGGTTAATTTTCATTTTCAAAATAACCAGACTAGGTCTAGATTTGCAGGTTCTTAGTCACCCGAGGACAATAAAATAGGTGTCAAATGATAAAGGCACGTTTAAAATTAGTTTTAAAATAAAAGAATAAATGGATTGATATACTGAAGTAGATGTGATGGAGACATTGAAAAGTTTCCAAAAATATTGTGTAGTTCTTCTTGAGAACAGGTTCCATGTACAGAAGAAGGAAGGGAAGAATCCCTGGAGAGAATGATATTTGCTTGTCAGAAACAATAGGGACTTATTTTAAAATAACATCGTTCAACTCCAGAGGTATTTTGATCAGAAGCCATACTTTAGATCGTTTCTAAATCTCACCTCAGCCCAAATAATATTTGTATCAAGTAGAAGCTAATTTATAAATATACATGAGTCCAAGTATATCATGAAAATTATATTATTTGCAATCATTACTAAAGGAAATGTTCATTTTTACTAAAGTAACGTCTTAAATATGTACTTACTACATTGTTTTTCTTTTCTTTCTTTTTTTTTTTTTTTTTTACTATCTGCTAGTATTTCATATGGGAAATGAGTTAATACACACCTACTAAGTAAAACAGTACAGTAAAGAGTAACATCCTGAATTTTATAGATGGTAATAAAGAAGCCTTAGAGACTCCTCAATGAGCACTACTAAAATATAATTTAATCCTAATCATAAACAGGTATGTAGAAAGAATGAGCACTAGTTAAGATTTTATAGCCATATTGGGAGACTGTGTCTGGAAAAGCTCACATTCACTTACTGATTGCTTGGCCTAAGTGCCTATTAAATAGAGTTGGGAGCCCTTCCGCGTACAATTGTTTGTAAGCATTTACTTTAACATGAGCCATGTCATCAAAGTATTTTCTATTTTGGATACTTTTTCAACAGGATCTTTTTAAAGGCTTTATTTTTTTTTTAGTGCAGTTTTAGGTTCATAGCAAAATTGAGAGGAATGGGCAGAGACTTCCCATACATTCTCTGCACCTGCACATGCTTAGCATTCTCTGCTATCAACATTCCCCCACCAGAGTGATACATTTGTTACAATTGATGAACCTACATTGACACATCATAATAAACCAATGTTTATAGTTTAATTTAGGGTTAACTCCTTATTCTATGGCTTTGGATAAATGTATAATGGCATAAACTCATCAATATAATATCATACAGAGTAATTTGAATGCATTAAAAATCTGTGCTGCACCTGTTCATGTCTCCCCATCCCTACCCCTGGCAACCACTGATCTTTTTATTGGCTCCATAGTTTTGCCTTTTCCAGAATGTCATGTAGTTGAAATCATACAGTATGTAGCCTTTCATGTTGGCTTCTTTCACTTAGTAATATGGATTGAAGGTTCCTCCATGTCTTTTTATGTTTTGATAGCTCATTTCTTTTTGTACTCAATAATATTCCATTGTCAGCATGTACCAGAGTTTATCCATTCATCGTCTGAAGATGAATTCATCTTGGTTGTTTCCAAGTTTTGGCAATGATGAAATAAAGCCGCTATAAACATCCATGTGTAGGTTTTTTGCATGGCCAGACATTTTCAGCTCCTTTGGTAAATACAAAATGTGCACTCCTTGGATCATATGGTAAGAGTATGTCTAGTTTTATAAGAAATTGACAAAATGTCTTATGAAACAGCTGTGCCATTTTGAATAGCCACTAGATATGAATGAATAAGAGTTCCCATTGTTCCACATCCTAACCAGCATTTGGTATGGTCAGTCTCCCCTGGATTTGGGCCACTCATAGATATGTAGTAGTATCTTGTTTTAATTTGTGCTTTCCTGATGACATATATGTGAAACAGGTTTTCATATACTTATTTGCCATGTGTATGTTTTCTTTGGTGAAGTATCTATTAAGGTCTTTGGCCCATTTTTTAATCAGGTTGTTTGTTTTCTTAACATTTAATTTTGACTCCTTTGCATGTTTTGTGTAACTAATTTATTAGATGTGTCTTTTGCAAATATTTTCTCCAAGTATGTCTTATCTTCTCATTCTATTGACATTGTCTTTCAAGGGCAGAAATGGGATTTTCTAAAACCTTAATGTAACAGTTTTGTGGAGACTGTTGTTCTAAGGAATTAAAATTAGAAGTTAATGTTTTAAAATACTTGTTTAACCTACCTAGGGGTTAAGAGAAGAGAAATTTTCCTTCTCTGGACAGATGAATCAAGGCACCAGGCTTTAAGAGAAAATAAGAGAAAAGCACCTCTGTGCAAAAGAAAACAAAAACAAAATATTCGTCTTTCCTTCAGGTGAACAGGGCTCCTGCTAGAGGACCAGTGTGAAAGCTGAGGGTGTCACAGCTGAAGTGGGCATCCTTTGAGCATTTAGGTGGGGCTCAGATGCAATGCAGCTGTTAATTACATGATGTTTGGCTTTGCCTTTTTTCATCCTGTGGTTTTAGGTCAAAGTGATTATTCAGCTGCCCAGTCATGCAGGAAAGGCAGGAAACATGGGTCTGGTCTGTGATATCTTTTACTACTGCAGCTAAACATAACTAGCAGCTATTTGCACTTGTATGGTTTGCTTTACAACCATGTCATCCTAATAAAAACTTTTGTGAAATAGAGAAGATAGATATTTTCTCATTTTATAAGAGAAAGGAAAGTGAGACTCATACAAAATATGAATCTAAATATTTTGGTTCCTAAATCTGTGCTTATTCCAATATGACCCTCTGTAGTAGCTGATGTCCATTGAACCCAAGTACTGGTCAGGTATTTTAACTGGTTGAGGTTTATTATATTATTTAAAAAATTCATTCTGAGACATAAGATTATTTTCACAATTTTAAAGAATACACTAATAGTCAGATAAGTTCAATATGTGTCTTTGGTCAGGGAAATAGAAAGTGGTGTCTTATTATCACATATCACAGTTCTGGTGGAAGGGTACTTTCTCAATAAATACCTGTGGAACATTTATGTTACATATAACAATGTAATCCATAATGGAGCTATTTGGTAACTTCTATTACTTTTCTATTAATATGTAACAAATAATCATATGATTTCTTTAGGTCAGAAGTCCAGGAGTGTTCAACTGAGTTATCTGCTTTAAATCTGGAAAGACTGAAATCATGTGTCAGCTGGGCTGGGCTCTTATCTGAAGGCTCCAGGGAAGAATCTGATTTCCCGCTCATTTTCCTTGTTGGCAGAATCCACTTTCTTGAGGATGTAGGTGTGAGGGCTCCATTCTTTTTCTGGTTGTTAGCTGAGGCAGTTCCCTCCTCTTAGAAGCTGCCTGCATTCCTTTACCTTCTTCAAACAAGCAACAGTGTGTCAAATCCTTCTTATGCTTGAATCTATTTAATTTTCTCTTCTGCTACCATCTGGAGAAAGTCTCTGCTTTCAGTGGTTTTCACCCAACCGGGTCAGGCCCACCCAAATAATCTTTGTGTTTTAAGGTCACCTGACTTGGGACTTAAATTACACCTGCAAAATTCCTTCACAACAGTATCCAGATTAGTGTTTAGTTGAATAACCAAGGGACAGAAATCATGTGCTGGCACCTTTAGAATTCTACCTACCATAACCCTAAAATATCTGTAAAATTTGGGGGTATTATTTTTTATAGGATAATAAATATTCTTTCAAACTTATATGTCATCACTTACTTTTCCTTTTATATGACTCCTAAGTAAAATAATAGCACTAGTAGGCACTCAATAAGTAGTTCTTAATATATTTTTCAAGTGACTAGCTCTCATCTCCCTCAATTTCCATGTTAATGTCTCAGCTCAGGATAATGTTTGGTTTCATTCTAAGTGCTTTTCAGAAACTGCCAATGTGTTCATCACTTCCCAATAGCTAAACCGATGTGTACTTTTCATTTCTTATCTCCCTGATTTCTTTGTGTTGTTTGACTATATTAATCATCCTCTTTCCTCTTGGAATGTTCTACTTCCTTGGCTAGCATTCCAGTACTTTGGTATGGTATACTTTATCATCTTGGTCCTAGAGTATACCTTAACTAACTCACTCAGAATATATTAATAAATGATACTTGCTAGGTAGTGTAGTATTTTAGGCACTAATGATATTGAGGGTATTATTTTGTCTTTGAGGAATTTAAGAGTCTAATGCAAAAGATAAGCAAATAATTGCATTATGGATAATTACTGTGGTGATGTTTTCTTTTTTTAATTCTTAAATTTAATTATTTTTATACAGCAGGTTCTTATTAGTTATCCACTTTATACATATTAGTGTATGTATGTCAATCCCAGTCTCCCAATTCATCACACCACCACTCTTCCACCCACTGTTCCACTTTCCCCCCTTGGTGTCCATATGTTTGTTCTCTACATCCATGTCTCAATTTTTGCCCTGCAAACCGGTTCATCTGTACCATTTTTCTAGGTTCCACATATATGTGTTAATATACGATATCTGTTTTTCTCTTTCTGACTTACTTTGCTCTGTAGGACAGCTTCTAGATTCATGCACATCTCTGCAAGTGACCCAATTTCATTACATTTTATGACTGAGTAATATTCCATTGTATATATGTACCACATCTTCTTTATCCATTTGTCTAATGATGGGCATTTAGTTTGCTTCCGTGATCTGGCTATTGTAAATAGTGCTGTAATGAACACTGGGGTGCATGTGTATTTTTGAATTATGGTTTTCTCTGGGTATATGCCCAGTAGTGAGATTGCTGGGTCATATGATAATTCAATTTTTAGTTTATTAAGGAACCTCCATACTGTTCTCCATAGTGGTGGTATCAATTTACATTCCCACCAACAGTGCAAGAGGGCTCTCTTTTCTCCACAACCTCTCCAGCATTTGTTGTTTTTAGATTTTCTGATGAGGCCCATTCTAACTGGTGTGAGGTGATACCTCATTGTAGTTTTGATTTGCATTTCTCTAATGATTAGTAATGTTGAGCATATTTTCATGTGCCTCTTGGCCATCTGTATGTCTTCTTTGTAGAAATGTCTATTTAGGTCTTTGGCCTATTTTTGGATTGGGTTGTTTGTTGTCTTGATATTGAGCTGCATGAGTTGCTTACATGATTTGGATATTAATCTTTTGTGAGTTGCTTCATTTGCAAATATTTTCTCCCATTCTGAGGGCTGTCTTTTCATCTTGTTTGTAGTTTCCTTTGCTTTGCAAAAGCTTTTAAATTTCATTAGGTCCCATTTGTTTATTTTTGGTTTTATTTCCATTACTCTAGGAGGGGGATCAAAAAAGATCTTGCTGTGATTTATGTCAAAGAGTGTTTTTTCTGTTTTTTCCTCTAAGAGTTTTATAGTGTCTGGACTTACATTTAGATCTCTAATCCATTTTGAGTTTATTTTTGCATATGGTGTTAGGCAGTGTTCTAATTTCATTCCTTTACATGTAGCTGTCCAGTTTTCCCAACACCACTTATTGAAGAGACTGCCTTGTCTCCATTATATATCCTTGCCTCCTTTGTGATAGATTAGTTGACCATATGTGCATGGGTTTATCTCTGGACTTTCTATCCTGTTCCATTGATCTATATTTCTGTTTCTGTGCCAGTACCATACTGTCTTGATTACTGTAGCTTTGTAGTATAGTCTGAAGTCAGGGAGCCTGATTCCTCCAGCTCCATTTTTCGTTCTCAAGATTGCTTTAGCTATTCAGGGTCTTTTGTGTTTCCATACAAATTGTGAATTTTTTTGTTCTAGTTCTGTGAATAATGCCATTGGTAATTTATAGGGATTGCATTGAATCTGTAGATTGCTTGGGGTAGTATAGTCATTTTCACAATGCTGATTCTTCCAACCCAAGACCATGGTATATCTCTCCATTTGTATCATCTTTAATTTCTTTCATCAGTGACTTAGAGTTTTCTGCATACAGGTCTTTTGTCTCCATAGATAGTTTTATTCCTAGGTATTTTATTCTTTTTGTTGTAATGGTAAATGGGAGTGTTTCCTTAATTTCCCTTTCAGATTTTTCACCATTAAGTTATAGGAATGCCAGAGAACTTGGTGCATTAATTTTATATCCTGCATCTTTACCAAATTCATTGATTAGCTCTAGTAGTTTTCTGGTGGCATTTTTAGGATTCTGTATGTATAGTATCCTGTCATCCGCAAACAGTGACAGGTTTACCTCTTTTCCAATTTGTATTCCTTTTACTTTTTCTTCTCTGATTGCCATGGCTAAGACTTCCAAAACTATGTTGAATAATAGTGGTGAGAGTGGACATCCTTGTTTTGTTCCTGATCTTAGAGGAAATGCTTTCAGTTTTTCACCATTGAAAATGATGTTTGCTGTGGGTTTGTCATATAATGCCTTTATTATGTTGAGGTAGGTTCTCTCTATGCCCACTTTCTGGAGAGTTTTTCTCATAAATCGGTGTTGAATTTTGTCAAAAGATTTTTCTGCATCTACTGAGATGATCATATGATTTTTATTTTTTAATATGTTAATATGGTGTATCACATTGATTGATTTGTATATATTGAAGAATCTTTGCATCCCTGGGATAAATCCCACTTGATCATGGTGTATGATCCTTTTAATGTGTTGTTGGATTCTGTTTGCTAGTATTTCATTGAGGATTTTTGCATCTATATTCATCAGTGATATTGATCTGTAATTTTCTTTTTTTTTGAAGTATCTTTGTCTGGTTTTGGTATCAGGGTGATGGTGGCCTCATAGAATGAGTTTGGGACTGTCCCTTCCTCTGCAATTTTTTAGAAGAGTTTGAGAAGAATGGGTGTTAGCTCTTCTCTAAATGTTTGATAGAATTCACCTGTGAAGCCATCTGGTCCTGGACTTTTGTTTTTTGGAAGATTTTTAATCACAGTTTCAATTTCATTACTTGTGATTTGTCGGTTCATATTTTCTATTTCTTCCTGGTTCAGTCTTGGAAGGTTCTGCATTTCTAAGAATTTGTCCATTTCTTCCAGATTGTCCATTTTATTGGCATATAGTTGCATGTAGTAGCCTCTTAGGATGCTTTGTATTTCTGTGGTGTCTGTTGTAACTTCTTTTTCATTTCTAATTTTATTGATATGAATCCTCTCCCTCTTGTTTTTGATGAGTCTGGCTAATGGTTTATCAATTTTGTTTATCTTCTCTAAGAACCAGCTTTTAGTTTTATTCATCTTTGCTATTGTTTTCTTTGTTTCTATTTCATTTATTTCTGCTCTGATCTTTATGATTTGTTTCCTTCTGCTAATTTTGGGTTTTGTTTGTTCTTTCTCTAGTTCTTTTACATATAAGGTTAGATGGTTTATTTGAGATTTTTCTTGTTTCTTGAGGTAGGCTTGTATTGCTATAAACTTCCCTGTTAGAACTGCTTTTGCTGCACCCCATAGGTTTTGGATCATAGTGTTTTCATTGTCTTTTGTCTCCAGGTATTTTTTTGATTTCCTCTTTGCTTTCTACAGTGATATCTTGGTTATTTAGTAATGTATTGTTAAGACTCCACGTGTTTGTGTTTTTTACATTTTTTTCCACCTGTTATTGATTTCTAATCTTTGTGGTCAGAAAAGATGCTTGATATGATTTCAATTTTCTTAAATTTACTGAGGCTTGATTTGTGACCCAAGATGTGATCTATCCTGGAGAATGTTCCATGCACACTTGAGAAGAAAGTGGAATCTGCTGTATTTGGATGGAATGTCCTATAAATATCAATTAAATCTATCTGGTCTGTTGTGTCAATTAAAGCTTGTGTTTCCTTATTAATTTTCTGTTTGGGTGATCTGTCTCTTGGTGTAAGTGAGGTGTTCTAGTCCCCCATTATTATTGTGTTACTGTCAATTTCCTCTTTTATTGCTGTTAGTATTTGGCTTATGTACTGAGGTGCTCCTATGTTGGGTGCATATATATTTATAATTGTTATACCTTCTTCTTGGATTGATCCCTTGATCATTATGTAGTGTCCTTCCTTGTCTCTTGTAACATTCCTTATTTTAAAGTCTATTTTATCTGATATGAGTATTGCAACTCCAGCTTTCTTTTGATTTCCA